CTAAAGAAAGTAGAAGAAAGTCGTAAGAACAAAATTAATAAAATAAAAAATAGAAAGGAAAAGCAATGCTAAAAATTGGTTCTTTGACAAGATCCATTGAGACTAATAAAATACAAAATGATAAACTTCTGGCAAAAGTGGTAAAAAAGACAAAACAACAATATTAGAAATGAAAAATGGAGCCTACAGAGATTAGACAATTGAACATTATGAAAATTTTATGGCACTACACTTAAAAACTTACATAAAATAAATTTCTAAAAATCTTACCAAAACTGACTCAGGAAGAGAAAATATATCTAATAAGCATGCACTGAGAAAGTTTAATCAATTATCAATAATGCAAACCATAATGAAATAATGAAAATCCCAGGCCCACATGAGTTTATAGGTAAATACTATCAAGCAATAAAATAAAATAAAATAAACATAATTCTGAATTTTAAACTATTCCAGAGTAAATAAAAAAGGAGGGAACACTTCTCAGTTCATTCTATTAGGCTAGCATAGCCTTAATATAAAAAACAGACAAGGACGGTTTCAGAAATTAATTTTCAGGCCAAGCTCATCCATTAACACAGATCCCCCAAATCCTTAAAATAGTTTAGCATGCTCATAAAAAGGTTAATAATTAATGTAAAAAGTGAACTTATTCCAGGAACACAAGTAATCACATGAGTAGATTTATGGAAAAAAATGTAAAATCTCAGTAAGTATGGATAGAGCATACACAGAATGAAATATTCATATATGAAAACACTCCTAGCAAGTTAGAATTTGGTAATAGTCTGAAATTTGGTGATAAAATAAAAATACATAAAAAGTATGAAGCTTGGTAAAAAAATCATTTGCAGAATATATATATATATATATATATATATATATATATATCCCAAAAATCTATGAAAAATTTTGATTTAAAAGAGTAAGAAGTTAGGAAGGCTAGTGGTTATAAAATCAATATAGTCATTTGCATTTCTATACAATGCTCATAAAAAAGTCTTTAAAAATTCTCATTTACAAAAGCATCAAATTAAAATTAGAACTAAATCTTAGGCAAGTTATATAAGTCCTTTATGAAGGAAAATATAAAAGTATTGAAAGATTAAAGAGGAACTAAAATGGAGACCTATACAATGTTCTTCAATAGGAAGATGGAGTAATGTAAAGATGTTAATTCCCCTGAAATTGATGCACAAATTCAATTCAGTCCCAATAAAAATTCCGAAAACTTTCCATTCTCTGCAAGTTGGTTCTAAATTTATAATGGAAGAGCAAAGGGTCAAGAGCACTCATGAAGAGACCTGACCCATCAGATATTGGGACTTTCGAAGACAATGCTGTATTGGTGCAGGTATCAATAAACAGAACCTGGGAACAATTAGAAAACAAATCTATAGAAGCTTGATCTAGGACAGAATGGACACTGGGAAAAAAACTAACATTCCATAATGATGTTGGGACAACTGTCATTCATAACATAACATAACATAACATAACATAACATAACATAACATAACATAACATAACATAACATAACAACAACACTGAAAACCTATCTCACCTACTGGGGGGGAAAATTACAGTGAAAGGCAAAACTCTAAAATTTATATAAAATAATATGTGAGATATCTTTATGCCCTTGAGGAAAAGGAGGATTTCTTAAACAGCATGCAAAATATGAAAGTAAAAAGATGATTAATTTTGATATTGAAATGACACCTAAAGAAAAGACAGGCCACGAAATTGGACAAGATCATTTGTAACACAACCAAAAAATCATTAGGATCTGGCATACATTAAGTACATCTAGAAAAAAAAAAACCCCACAGAAAAATTGCTGAAAGACAAACAGGAATTTCAAAGAGGAACCACAAATATACAAATAAGCATATGAAAACATATAATCAGAAAAACACAAATTAAATCACAATAAAATACCAGATGTATACAAATTAATAGCAAAAAGAACCTGTTATGGGACTGGATAAAAAAGATGAAGGGATTTGCCCTGGCTGGTGTAGTTCAGTCGTTAGAGTATCCGCCCACACACCAAAGGGTCTTGGGTTTGGTTCCTAGTCAAGGGCACATACCTGAGTTGCAGGTTTGATCCCTGGCCCCAGTTGGGGCACATGTGGGTGGCAACCAACTGATGTTTCTCTCTCCTCCCCGCTCCCTCCTCCCTCCTCTCTAAAGATTTGTGAAAAAATATCCTTGGGTGAGGATTAACAACAACAACAACAAAAAAAACCCAAAACCAAAACAGAACAAAACAAAAAAAGAAAAAGGGATTAGTAGTACAGATTTGGTACTTACAAAATAGTCACAGGAGTGTGAAATACAGCATCCTATCTAATAAAGAGGGAATATGCTAATTGACCCTTACAAAGATGGTGACACCCACAGCCAATAAGGAGGGAATATGCTAATTGCTGCCCCGCCCTCAAATATGGTGGCCCCCACAGCCAATAAAGAGGAAATATGCTGACTGCCCCGCCCTCAAAGATAGTGGCGCCCACAGCCACAAGATAATGTCACTCAGTCCCCTCAGCCCCGCTGTGGCAGCACGCACTTGGCAAGGCTGGGCCCGCCTCCTGAGTCCCCCAGTCCCCTCAGCCCCCCAGCCGCTCAAGGCTGGCCCGAGGCGCAGGCAAGCCTGGGATGGCAGCTGCCCAGCCACCCAGGGCCGCCCGAGGCTCAAGTAACAAGGCCTGGCCAAGGCTTGAACTGCCGGCAGTGGCAGCAGCAGAGGTGTGATGGGGGCATTGCCTTCCCCTGATCGCCTCCCGCCCCTGAGGGCTACCAGACTGTGAGAGGGGGCAGGCCGGGCTGAGGGACGCCCCCCCTCCAGTGCATGAGTTTTCATGCACCGGGCCTCTAGTAAAGAATATAGTCAATAACATTACAATAACTATGTATGGTGTCAGGTGGGTACTGGAGGTATGGGGGTGGGGATCGGGAGCACTTTGTAAAGTGTATAACGACTGTGCTGTACACCTGAAACTAATACAAAATAACACTGAATGTAAAAAAAAAAAACCACTTTAAAAAGAACTCAAGCCCTGACCAGTTTGGCTCAGTGGAAGGGTGTCAGCCTGTGGACTGAAGGGTCCCAGGTTCGATTCCGGTCAAAAGCATGTACCTTGGTTGCGGGCACATTCCCAGTAGGGGGTGTGCAGGAGGCAGCTGATCAATGTTTCTCTCTCATGGATGTTTCTAACTCTCCATCCCTCTCCCTTCTTCTCTGTAAAAAAATCAATAAAATATATTTTTTTTAAAAAAGAACTCAAATGACATTTAACTATGAAATGGGTAACTTTATATATACATTTTGCACAATAAAATACAGCTAAAGAAACCAACAGGGCATTGATTTCAAATTCCTACCATCTAACAAAATAAGTTATATAATACCCAATTATGTAATACCCAAAGAATGAATGTACAGTAGGTCTTTGGGTTATGTCAGAGATCTGTTCCTACGACACGACGATGCGACGTAACGTGATTTTCACTGTAAGTCGGAACCCACCTATATAAGTACCTACGTCATTCACATGGAGCACATACACAGCAGTAATGAAGTGAAACAGTAAAAAATTTTAAAAGAAAGATAACAATTCTTGACCTTTACTTGTAGTAATAATAAAAAACATAAAACACATATGTACATACGCCGAAATGACAGAATTTTTAAAATAAATACTGTAAATGGGAGATGGCGACGTAACCACAAAACGACGTAACCCAAGGACTGCCTGTATTTATATAAATTTAAAAAACAGGTAAAATTACTTTTGAATGTATAAAATCTGTAACAACTTAATAGCAAAATGTTTCTAAATATTAGAATCTTCTCCTAAAATTATTCTGTTTATGCAGTTTCATCCACTACATTACCCTGTCTTCTGGCAGTAAAAGGCAGGGCACAAACAGCAGCATCAGCATATAATGAGCATCTCCTATATGCCAGTCTCTGCCATGAATTGTTCACTCATTTTCTTAACGCATCTGAAGTTGGTATTATTGTATTCCCATTTCACAGAAGAGGAAACCGAGGAAACCTATCCTATATAATAAAACCTTAATATGCAAATCGACTGTACAGCAGAACAAACAGGCAGAACTGGTCGCTATGACACGCACTGCCCCCCTTTCCCCTGAGAGGGAGGTGACCAGCTGCCATGGCAGCAATTGGGGGGTGGGGGGGTGGCCAGTGGGCAGCGCCAGGCCACCAGCCAAGGCGGGTGCCAGAAGGGGCCCCCCTGATTGCCCTGCCTGCTGGTCACCCCAAAGATGGTCCTGATCTCCAGCCAGGCCTAGGGACCCTACCCTATATATTGAGAACTGTCTCTTAGATTTAAAAATTAAAACCTGGCAAGGCTACTCTAACACTGAAAAAGCAGGATGATACAGTGATGACATGCATGGACTCTGGCTTGCACATTTTCTGGTCAGCCCTCATTCTGACACTTATAACTGTGCGACAAAGCCAATTACTTAACTTCTCTCTGCTTCAGTTTTCCCACCCATAAGATGGGAAAAATGGTACTACTGCCTCAGAAGGATCATGTTATGTACTACTTTTTATAATCAGGGCAAAAAAATGTAGCTGCCCATACAACAGCAAGATGCCTTTCACCTGTATGATAAGTATGGTCAACGGTGCGTGCAGTGTCCTGGATTGTGAGAGGGATGTCCGACTGCCGGTTTAGGCCTGACATCCCCCGAGGGGTCCCGGATTACAAGAGAACGCAGGCCAGGCTGAGGGACCCCCTGTCCCTCACATGCATGAATTTTGTGCACTGGGCCTCTAGTAGTTAATATAAGGACTTGAGGTAGTGCTGGAGATGAAGCAACAGCTTGAGCTGGTACAAATAACCACCAGAGTGACTAAAAACACTAGCAGGATTTCCATAAAGGGTAACCTTGGGGTCTCACATAACTGGTTATGAATCTGCTCAGATCATGCAAAAATGTATGGTTTCTTTCACTCATAGGTGCCACTCCGGGGCAGCACTGAGGTTGCTGATCTGCCTCCAATTTTAACTAAATCCCGCACCACGCCGGCCTCTCCCTGCCCTGAGCACCTCACTGCCCGAAGCCCTGTGGGGCTGTGCAGTGGAGAAGCTTTTGGTGCTGCCTGTTGGTAAAGGTGGGTGGACAGACAGTGTCTTTGGTTGGTTGATTGTTGTAATCAATAAACAAGAAATAGAAGGAGAACTTGAAATTCTTCTACATCACTCAGTTCCTATTACCAAAATTGTTTTCCATCTTTTTCAGGCCAAGCAAAGAGGACCAGCAACTGGTGGAATGTAAAAGTCAATAAAAGTAGAGTTTCAAAATGACAAAGATGCTCACAACTGGGCCCAGTTCAGGCTACTTTAAAAGACAAGGCTTTAAGATTCTGAGAGACTATTAAGATTTTTGTCTAAACTTCAGAGTGTTAACTAAAGCAAAAAAGCTATTTCAAACTGAGAATTCAAAATTGGTTTTAAAATATACTAAAATCATACACCTTAGAATGAAGTTACATTAGCCAGTCATCCTTTACACAAATTATTAAAAAGCTTCTAAGTACATATATTATGCTGCTTTGATATTTTTGCAATTGGCAGTAAATAAATTAGTGAAACAAAAAATATGCCATAAGATACCTTCAGGTAGCGTTCAATATTATTCATCAAAATATCAATTTCTTCCTTGGACCACATCCCCTGCTTCCATTTATGTCCTTTAAAAGAAAACAAGTAATATTATAGAAAATGTTATTCCTTGAGAAGAGTACATTACTAAAGATTTGCTTTCTGATTAAATATATTATCTATGAAAATAAAATGTAGCTAATTTAATTTCTCATTCATCTGAAACTTGAAAGATCCCTAGGTAAAGTTGCTTTTGAAACCTCTGATTTTTAAGAAAGAATACATTCGACCCTACTAAATAAAGAGAATGGTAAGTAAAAGATTTAAAAAATGTGGCTTCCACTCAGTAACTTCTCTTACCCTGTCAGTAGTCTAGATCAGCAGTCGCCAACTGGTGGTCCGAGGACCACTGGTGGTCTGTGAGGTCTGAAAGGTTGGCAACCGCTGGTCTAGAGCACCTAAAAAGACTTACAAGTATTAGAAGAGCCCAACTGTGCTAAAAACTTGCTGAAAAATTTCTCCAATGAAAAATAAACTTTATGGGCAAAATAACATATACAAAGATTCTAGGGCAAGGTAAACATAATACATTGGATACCTACCAAGTGAACAGTATATTCTAAATGTGTATTACAGTGGTTAAAAACAATTTACTTACTTTTGTTTCCTTTTCTTAGAGTGGCACATCCACAACCCCCATTCTCTTGTAGCAGCTTCCTAGCAATCCTTATGAGCATAGCCACACTACAAACACCACGTGACAGTAAGCCTCTAAGCTACTTATCAGACCAAAGTAAGTAGATCTTTGAAAATGCTTGATTTCCTAGTCCCATAAGCAGTAACTGTACTGTATTGTTTTTTAAATGCCACCGCTATCCATTTGCTCAAAAATTAACAGGACAAGATCTACTACATTTCAGAAAAATGATCGATTATTGAAAAATGGTGGTTTCATTAGCTCATTCAGAGTCATTTAGTGCCAAATTTAATTCAATGAGGAAAGTTCAAGTTTAATTCAATTAGAAATAAGCCAGTCAGAAAAGATTAAGAATCGTAAGATTTCACTCATAGGTAGGATAAAAAAGTGAACCTCATAGACATAGACAACAGTATGATGGTTACCAGAGGGAAAGGGTTGGGGGTGGAGTAAAGGGAGAAAAGGGCGAAATATATGGTGAAGAACAATCTGAGTGTGGGTGGTGGGCACACAAAGCAATATACAGATCACATATCATAGAAATGTACACTTGAAAACTATATGATCTTATTAACCAATGTCAGCCCAATAAATTTAATAAAAATAAAAAGAAAAGCTCAATTACTGTAACTACTTAATCACAATTCTGAAGGTCCAACTCAGAATCCTAATGATTATAAGTTCTTTTTATCTCCATTTTTTCCAGCAGGCACTAAAATTCACAGTACATATATCTTACCTTTGTTAGTCAGAGAATCCTTATCTTCTTTAGTTGTGAACCATGCTTGGCTAACTGCTGAAACTTCCTCATTACCCAAGGGAGATATTTCATCTAGTTGCTCATTCTGTAGAATCTTGAAAAGGTAAAAGTATACATTTGTATACTTATATATTTAAATTAGTACATACATACAAAATGGAAATGCTGGGGTTGAGTTATAATTTTTAATGTCCTCACAGGTAGTTTGCTATGTAAATATTTAGTCATCTGTAATGTAATCTGTTAAATTTAAAGGATTAACAGGCTAAATTAAAAGACATTTTACAAAATTATGGTCTGCTTACTGCTCACTGACAACTTTATGGTAGACAACTTCTAGAGTGTCATAACTCCTACCATCACTAATTTATCCCTTCTCCTCAAAGAACTGTATACTACTTTTTACTATTTTTTGCAGCTATACAGTCATTATTGAAAAACGTGCAGTTAAAAAATAATTCACATACCATAAAATTCACCCTTTAAAGAATACAATTCAGTGGCTTTTAGTATACTAATGCAATTATCACTGGGCACATTTTCAATTACATACATACCTAATCTAGCAATTCCTGCAGGAACAAAGCTACTTTTAAGACTTGACCTTGAACTAAAGAGAACTATAGTGTGAGGGAGGAAAATCTGACAACAGTTCTGCCATATGAGGTTTGACATTATAACAGGCAGACTGGGATAAGGGGAGAATTACCTGTCTAGTGATCACTCAACCTTGTGCTGTCTTTGGATTGGATCAACTACTAAACTATGTCACTGGCTGGAGGTACTAACAAAGATTGAACTATTTCTTCAATAAATAAAAAATGAATTTCTAACTTCCACAGGAAATGAAACCCATCTCAGTTGGTAAGAGAGAAGCTATCACTGAACCATGAAAGTACAATAAGGGGAAAAGCCACACCTTTATTGTTACCTGCTTTATTTTTATATTTGATAATTAACATATTATATTCATAAAAGTGTTTTCTTAAAAATCCATGGGCAAAAAGCTATAAATCACTGATCAAGTATGAAAAGTTTTGTAACTCTATGTAGCGTGCATTTTAGACTTTTTTCTTTTAAAGACCAAGAGACCTTTATAAAGCTGAGAATGGAGACAGACTGGACAGATGGTGTCTAAGGCCTCTTGTAATCTGAAGATCACATTACTGCTGAACTTTTAACTATGCTGATTTTCACTAATAGCTAATGTTAATTTTATTAAACATATATTAGAAATTATTAAAAGTTTTTCATTCACTAAAATGGTAATAACAAACCAAGAAGCTAATATTAAATAATAACTCATTAACTCTTTGGCAATAACGCAAACGAAACAACCCTATAACTTGTCTAACTAACATTGCCACTGCTCAATCTTCTAGCTAGGTTGTAAACAAAATTATACGTATGTATAGTTATTTTTACTGCATTGAAAACAGAATGGAAGTGAAGACTTCATAGTCTTTGAACCTGAAATGAATGTGACAAGCCCCATTTTGAAGAAAGGATATGCTCTATTGCTTCAGAGGGCTTGAAAAAAAATTCCTGTCCTAATCACCAGCTGATACCCGAGGGCAGATTATGAGGATCTGCAGCCTATCTCAAAAGCCATTTAAGCACAGACTCATGCCTCTGAAAATCCTTTCATTGTGGAACCACTTTGAAGCGCTCCATTGTAAGAGGTTCACAATGCACCTACATTAGATGTCCTTAGTCCTTGATGTTACTTATCAATTTACAACTATTATACTTAACTGAACAAGGTCACTGAGATGCTTCACATTAGAAAAATAATGGTATAATGTCTCCACTGCTACTACTTCATTTAATAAAAATATTTTATTAAATGAAGAAATGAAACAAAAGCACAAGCTACTAAACAGAAAGGCACAATCAGCGAGAGATAAATTTATAAGTAAAATAGATTTAAGCTTTAGGCTAAGAAAGCAAAGAATTCTGATTACTTTTGGCAGAAATAACTTGAGACAAGAAGTTCACATTAAGAGGAAAACAGTAAGGCTGATTATAATCCAGCCTCTAAACACATGGTAAAATGTATGTAGTCCTACAAGCACCAAAAGGAACTATATAACTATAACTACTCTAACTATCTGTAATGACTAGTTTCCACTGACACAAAACAGAGATCATATGTAGCCTCTCTAAATCAGTCATTACAGATAACTGCTGGGTAAAACTGCCTCAAAAAGCTTTATATCCCAATCAATATCTCCTATAAAATAAAATTTAAAGTTATTTAACAGCTCAAGTGAGATCAGTCCATGCAGATAATGAATGCACAGGCATCATTTATTTAAACAGACGTGAACCACTCTACAGGGAATGAATTTTAAAATTTTATTTTTGCTTACAATTCTGAGATTCATATATGTAGGGACTTAGAACCTGAACGAAGTAATGAATCTTTTTTTTTTAATTAAATCTTTATTGTTCAGATTATTACATTTGTTCCTCTTTTTTCCCCCCATAACTCCCCTCCTCCCAGTTCCCGCCCCACCCTCCACCCTCACTCCCCACCCACTGTCCTCATCCATAGGTGCACGATTTTTGTCCAGTCTCTTCCCGCATCTCCCACACCCCTTTCCCCCCCAAGAATAGTCAGTCCATTCCCTTTCTATGTCCCTGATTCTATTATAATCACCAGTTCATTCTGTTCATCAGATTATTTATTCACTTGATTCTTAGATTCACTTGTTGATAGATGCATGTTTGTTGTTCATAATTTGTATCTTTACCTTTTTCTTCTTCTTCCTCTTCTTAAAGGATACCTTTCAGCATTTCATATAATACTGGTTTGGTGGTGATGAACTCCTTTAGCTTTTCCTTATCTGTGAAGCTCTTTATCTGACCTTCAATTCTGAATGATAGCTTTGCTGGATAAAGTAATCTTGGTTGTAGGTTCTTGGTATTCATCACTTTGAATATTTCTTGCCATTCCCTTCTGGCCTGCATAGTTTCTGTTGGGAAATCAGCTGACAGTCGTATGGGTATTCCCTTGTGGGTAACTGATTTTCTTTCTCTTGCTGCTTTTAGGATTCTCTCTTTATCTTTTGCTCTTGGCATTTTAATGATGATGTGTCTTGGTGTGATCCTCTTTGGATTCCTTTTGTTTGGGGTTCTCCGCGCTTCTTGGACCTGTAAGTCCATTTCTTTCACCAGGTGGGGGAAGTTTTCTGTCATTATTTCTTCAAGTAGGTTTTCAATATCTTACTCTCTCTCATTTTCTGGCACCCCTATAATTCTGATGTTGGTACGCTTGAAGCTGTCCCAGAGGCTCCTTACACTATCCTCGCATTTTTGGATTCTTTTTTCATTCCGCCCCTCCGGTTGGGTGTTTTTTGCTTCCTCGCATTTCAAATCATTGACTTGATTCTTGCGCTCCTTTGGTCTGCTGTCGGGAGTCTGTATAATATTCGTTATTTCAGTCCATGTATGCTTAATTTCTAGTTGGTTCCCCAATATAACATCGAGGGTCTCATTCGTTTTCTTGTAGATCTCATTAAGTTTATCGGCGGCTTCTAAACAGTTCTTGAGAGACCTTAAAAGTGTGGTTCTGAACTCTATATCTTCCATTGACAATTTTGTCCTGTTTCTTTGTCTCCGCATTTTGTTATGCTTTCTTGGTGCACCCCCTAGTGGTCTTTGAGCGCAGTCTTGTAGGTAAGCCTTGATTGTTGTAGCTAATTCCAGGGAGGGTTTGACCTCCAGGCCAAGTGGCTGTGAGAATCAGCTGTGTCTGCAGTGAGAGAACTTCTGTCCTCTAGGGAGGTGCTAATCTAGCCTTTGCCTGAGGCTATCTGGCAAATGCCTCTGTGCAGGGCTTGGGCGGGGCGGGTCACACAGGATCAACAGGGTAGGCCGGAGAGAGCAGTTATGGCGGCTCTCAGTCCTGTCCCCAGGGGCTCTGCCTCTCTGAGTCCCAGCAACCGCTGCAAACCTCGGAGAGAAAGCTGCACTCGCTCTGACCGAAGCCAGACAGTCCCGCCTCTCCCGTTTGAGTCTGGGTCCCTAAAGACTCGCCCAGATCTGGAGCTCAGAGTCTGTGACTCCCTCCCGATTGAAAGCTCCAACCGCGCCCTCCGCCGCCAGCCCGCTCAGCGTGCACTCCGCACCTCAGAATTTGACTTCAGCACTGCGCCTCCTCTGAGTGTCCGTATGTGTTTCTCTTTCCTCCTAGTTGTAGGACTTCCACTCAGCCAGCGTTCCTGTGGTTCTGGGTGATGTCCGTTCTGTCTTTTAGTTTCACTTTTGAAGTAGTTGTTCAAGGCAGCAAACTCTGGCGTTAACCTATGCCGCCATCTTGGTTCTCACCGAAGTAATGAATCTTACCCTCAATTTTGTGGTTGCTACTTTGTGAGACAAAATATGTTCACAATATTTTACCACCTAAAGTATGTGTAAAGGATGATCCTCTTGCAGCCAATAAGAAGAGTTGGCCCTGGCTGGGTTGCTCAGTTGGTTAGTGTCATCCTGATACACCAAGATTGTAGGTTTGATCCCGGGTCAGGGCACATACAAGAATCAACCAATGAATGCGTAAATAAGTGAAATGACAAATGAGTGTTTATTTTTTTCTCTCTCTCTCATATCAATTATAAAAAGTAAAAAAAGACTTACTATACCTGGATCTGTGTCACAGTTCCCTCAGTAATCTCATCATCTGCCACCTCTGTGGTTGCAGTCATGGTCACCTCAAAGCTCTGATCATTTTCTGAAACTTCAAGGAAAGGAAAAATTCAATTCTAGAATAGCAATGGCAGGTTCTAATTAGTTTTTAAAAATCCATGGAAAAAATGGGACCATCTAATTTCCTAACACATTCCTTGCTCATATATATAAATATATGTATACTTTATATATATGCATTTAACCAATATTTATTGTGCATCTAATACCACAGTGGGTATTGCTGAGTAATTGGAGATAGCAGTGAGCAAAACCCAGCTTTTATGGTGCTTATATTCTAATGGGTTAAACACAAAATGAACACAGTATTATACTGGATGATGATAAGTAGTAAGAAGAAAAATATAAAGAAGGAAAGGGAATGTATTGAAAGTGAAGAAGGGTATTTGAAATAGACTTGGAACAAAGTGAGGAAGGGAGCCAGTCACATAGGTGTCTTGAGAAAGAGCATTTTAGGCAGCGAAAGCTGAGTGCAAAGGCTCTGAGATGGGGAGATGCCTGGATTTTCCCAAGAATAGCAAGGAGGGCAGTGTGGCCAAAGCAGATTGAACAAGAACAGTAAGATATTGTGGGGTAACTTGTA